TAGTGCCTAAAGCTGTCCTAATATCACTAAAACTTTAGTCTAAAGTCATTACTAACACTACAGGCCATGTCCGTATAAAATTATTTTTCAACATTTTGACCAAATTCAACAGATATTAGAGAAATAAGCTTGATTTTTGATGCAAAACTCTGGTGTGTCTCTCGGTCGGGGCAACGACCTCTCCAAAAATGTAACTTTATACGGCCAAGGAAAGGGGTCAACCCCACCACGTGAAACACCCAAATAAGGCATGAACCGAATGTATCCGGAGAAAAATTGCCACAAAAAAGAGGTATCCATTGGCTCCGATGTTTGCCGAAGATGCAAATGAGGCCTGTTATGTAGCCCCACTGCACTGCATTAATTGGAATAATCCCCGTGACGTTCCCACTGGGAACGATCCTGGCAGGGCTGGGATCTGCCTCGCACATGTGTGGACGAGTCCAACTCAAAACAAGTAGCATGCAGGTTCCATATTGTGTTTTGAGTCCATAGTTACATGAAACTACTTACAGTTTGTAGTTAATTTTCATTTCTTTGTTAGTATTTTGCTACCTTATAGCGACAAACATGTATAGTGTGCACCAATAAGTTGTCTACATAAAAGAAACCCTTTTCTTACGATCAATGTTACTGGCATATTGAACCAAAAATGACAAGCATAATGTGTATGACATGTTTTAATCAGGCAATATATCCAAACAAGAATAATAATAAAATGTTTCTTTACCTGGAGAAAATTTGAAGGTGATTTTCAGTTCAGGAGATTCCAGTCCAAACTGTTTCATCAAATCTGGATGAAACACGTGACTCTGCAACCTGGTCTTCAGACTCTCAATGCCTTCCTCTTCCTGCAAATGATCTGCAGATTCATGGTTGAAGCACCCTACCCACAGTTCAATGCAACCACGCTTTATGTCATAGACCTGGACCCCAATGCTATTTAGATACTTCACAATAGGAGCCATCCTTTCTTTGTTGTTGACAATGTAGTTGCATAGGCGTTCGAATGCTCCCTCTGAGCCTTCTTCACGTTGTAGGGCATAGTCATCTGCCAGCTTCATTTCCTTTGCAGACACCTTGATGATTCCATGGTATGCTGATATGATTAAAAAAAAAAGAAAATAATGCATCATATATTTGTGAACAACCTTAAGCAGAAAGTGAAAGATCCTGGGGGATTCTAATGACCTCAAATTTGTCCAGTTTATTTTTTGAAAGGAATATGTTCTTGAGTTTTCCTCTCATCAACAAACTATGGAAATAATTTTGTCTTTACATATCTGAAAGCCTTGTTCTTAATAATTTACATACGTGTTGCACGTTGAGGGTCAGATGTTGTACTATCCACATTGTACTATCAATATACAACAGCTAGGGATATTCACATCAGTCAAGGATCTCCTTCACTTATCAGCTTAGCATCTCTGGAAAATTCTTTTGATACAATGTATCAATAAAACTACTATAAATGAACCACCGTGAATGTACACATATTTTCTTCCTCGGAATGTTTAAAAGTTCTACAAGATTTCTTTGTCATCAATCTAATTTTAGTTTATGAAGCAAAAGAAAGGTTCCAGACATTTCTGTCTGCATCTGGAGCCTGGCTGGATAAGATGACCTCTTCTCCTCCGGTCTGTGAGGCCTCCCCCAGACCAGTCATCACCCCAGTCAGCAGCTCCTCAGCTGTTGAGGATAGTCCTTCAGCAGATTGAGCTGTTCAGAGATAACAGCAACAACAAATAAATGTTTGTAGAGTTTCATCTTATGAGATAGATATTTTAACATAAGGTTTGTGATACATGTACTTCTTTCTTGTCCAATGCATTTATCAACCTGAAGTCAAACTTATATTTATTTGAGAAATGTGAATATCACACATGTATATGTACTAGCAATAGTATAGCAGTTGTTGTGGTCTTTTTTTGTAAAACCTTGAATAAAAGAAACTTTTCTGTTTTATTACATGTCCTACCTTCAATAACTTTTTTGTTACTTGTTACATGTATTTTAATTATCAAATATATTACCATTTTTATTACTATCATTTTAAGATTGTATCTTCACTGCCAGTCTTGTGAATTTTATCTGTATTGCAGAATGTATAATTACCAGTTGAATCATCCACATCTGCATTGACTGGACTGGAAACTTGCTCTGAAAAAAATTGCATAAATATGAGACATAGGTATGTCATTGTGTGGTTTAAGATGAGCTACTAATCCCGACGGCTTACGGGTTCTGAATCAAGGAGAAAGTTACTAGTATTTGGACTTTTTTAAATTCCTTCATCTCAAATCCAAGTGCTACTAAATCTGGCCACACTTGACAGGTGCCATTAAATTTAAGAGCAGTTGACAAACATTGATTCAAAACTTTATCTCTAAGGAATTTCAGTGTAACATCTATGTAAATCTGTGTATTGGATTTGATTGCTTTTCATTCCAAGCTTTAGTGTAGTATTGCCATCCTTCCATTGATATGATCTATAAACAGACAATATGGTGACTCACGTTTCACACTAATCTCCTCCCTCCGGTCCAGGATGACCTGTAGTTTTTCCCGCCCCATCTCCCCTGGCTTCTTGAGGTTGAAGTCCTCTGGGAGGCCCTCCACTGACACCTCCCCTCTTTTCAGTGCAGCATAGGGAATTCTTGTACTTTTCCCTGAACCCTGTCAACCCTGAAAAAAGTTTTTTCACATACACGTATTAATATAATGGAGAAACCCATAATACTAAAATGGAACAACATCAAATATTTAGCAGACATTATGAAGTAAGCCTGCACAAAATGGAAACAAATTAACAAAGAGCACACAGAAAGAGACGGGAAAAATTTATGACTTCATTGCCACTCTTATTATATTCTAAGTTGTTAGCTCAGCACATTATTGTGACAACATAAATAAATGGTTTTTTATTGTCCAAACAGTACCCGTGCAGTCGCAGCCTTTATGCGGCTGAATTGATGCAGGGTACGAGTATCAAGTAATAATCAATACAAATCACAGCAATCAAACGATACATATGATACACAACAATCAAATAATACACATATTTGTTCCACATTTTTTGTGGAATTGTCGCAAGGGTTGTGCGGCTGCCATTCGGCACCACCAGATGACCTCAAGACGACTTTCCCCAACGGAAGTTAGGTACCCATTCACACCTGGGTGGAGTGGAGAAATTTGTGTAAAGTGCCTTTCCCAAGGGCACAACGTCGGGACACATGTCCATACATGTCCCAGGTACAACTCGGAATCGAACCCGGGTCTCCCCGCTTCATAGTCGAATGCTCTAACCACTACACCACCCGACGAAACTAATGCCACTTGGTACACGGTAAAGCTATTTTAAGCACGGGCTGAGCACTGGTATCAATATTCACTACCTTTGGTTTTATGACATCTTAGTACTGGTGACTTACTTATGGAATAAATATTTTGGGTTTGGTTCTATATGTTAGATAAACTTGACTATCTAACTTATTGGATTATGGAAGGAATAAATGACCATATGTGACGCAGCACGGTGGATGCAGAGGCAGTAGGTTTTTGTGTTTTCAAAACACTGCTCTTTTGTATCTTACACCTTCATTTCTTTGCACACCTTGTATTAATGCTCTGCTTTTTACCCCAAAATAGAGGAATATTAGTAATGCAAGTTTGGCTTAACACATCAGAGTCAGTTGTTAACCAATTTTGTCTGTGACTACCTTGACAGTTATTTTGCTGGCAGGTCCCTGCCACTTGTCTGTTATCTCCCTGTACATGTGGATTGCAGTCACTGCTCAAAGAGTTGCTGGATGCAGGTCCTTCCTCCTGATCCTTAAAACAAAGACACCAAATTGATAACTCACAGATTCTCTCATAGCCAGTCCAACTCAGTGCTAGTTAGAAATGATTCAAATGTTAGTATTTTCAGAATTTTCAAATCAAACTATTTTAAATTTAAGGTTAACAAATGGCAATCTGTGCACTGTCCAAATAAAACAAAATTACTGTAATGAAAATATCATTATTAGAGGGCAGGGAAGTTCCAAAAAGTATACCTCTTAGGTACATACTACTACTGACCTTGTAAGGCTGCACAAAACATACAGGAGGACAGCTGTAACATCGGGCAGTGTATGCCCGGTCTGCAGACTGGTTCTTTTTTTTAGGTCTGCCTCTGGAACTCAAGGTAGTACTTCGACCTAGGCAATGTATTTGAACATAGTCAATATTATACAGGCTTGAGGTACGGATATCAAAAGAGTTTTATTCAAGAATGTTGCCAATACTAATAATTATTCCTTAACAGTGTATAAAGGTTTTTATGGAAGCAGTCACACTACTCCAACTACATGACTCATACACAATGTAACTTTTTAAATACCGGTACACTGTACATGCAAAACATGTATACTTGTTGGCAATTGTATGGTGTGCTACAAAACATAAATAAAATCTTTGAACTGTAGCAAAGCATATGATTTGCATGTTAAAAAAGTTTTGATGCACAGTAACCCCTCTTACCTCTCTGAAAAGTCAAAGCTGAGAGAGACCTCTCAAGCACCCTGCCTTCTGACCTCCCTACAGCCTGTTTGAGACTTGTGTTGTGAGGAGTTGGCCCAGGTCTGTGTGTATCCGTAGGTCTTGAGGCCACATCAGATTCTGTAGCTTCAGGTGGAGGTGGCAGAAAGTTGTTGTAGAGTCCATGTGGCTGCTCATCTCTAAACCTGTACCTCACATCTGGTACTGCAGGGCACAAATTTACAGGAGTCAAAAATTCAACAAAACATACAACATATAACTGAACACCATCCACACACATGCCTGTCCTTAGTGCTGAATGCCATCCACACACGTGCCTGTCCTTGGTGCTGACCACCATCCACACACATACCTATCCTTGGTGCTGACCACCATCCACACACATACCTATCCTTGGTGCTGACCACCATCCACACACATACCTATCCTTGGTGCTGAACACTATCCATACACATGCCTGTCCTTGGTGCTGAACACCATCCACACACATGCCTGTCCTTGGTATTGAATGCCATCCACAAAATATGTAATCCACAGCTTGTACACTCATTTCAACAATGAGTGAGACAAATACGAGACTGATTTTACTTCTTGCGCTTCACGTATGTTTGACATCTCTAGATGTAGGTCAACTGATTGATAACAATTACAAGTAAGCAAATACCTCTTAGCTCCTCTTCTTGAGAAAGGTACAAGTGTGCATCATCTGGGTCTTCAAAGGATGTGAGACGGGGATTTTCTTCCCCCTGAAACAAAATGCATTTCAGAACAATTACATACATGTATTAAGTATCGATGAGTATGCCAAACATTCACTATGATAATAATCCTTGACTTCATAATGTATGATATTAAATGAAAACAGCTCAATTTTCTGGCACAATACCTGGACATGGAGAAGTCCTGGTGGTCCAGAATCAGGTGTGTTGAAAAGCTCTTGGTGGTTTTGTTCTTGTGACTGAAATGAAGCAAAAGGCAGTACATTACATTGTGTGATTATAAATTTCAATGTTAACCATACTCCACAAAGCCAATCAATTCTCTCACTCACTCACTCACTCACTCACTCACTCACTCACTCACTCACTCCTCACCCACCCACTCACTCACTCACTCACTCATCACCAAAAAACAGCTAGTTTAAGTTTACCAGGCTTATACTACTAACTCATAACGCTAAACACTAAACTTGCTTCAAAATATAATTATATTAGAAAATTTTCTTCACCTCTGGCTCTGAAGCAAGCTCATCAGTGGAGGGGGACCTCTGCACTCCTTGCACTGCTCAAAAATCGGAATATCCGGACATTTCCAGGCCTGTACACGTCCCGTGAAACTTGGCGTGTCCGGGTGTGTGCTGGAAATATCGGCCACGGCGTGTGCGGGACTGTGATACATCCGGACACGCCCGGACACCTGGTAAATAGTCGTGTGTACGGGAATATACGGGCCTGCACACGTCACATAATCCAATAATAAAAGCCTGACTATATTTGGCTAACCTCTATTTTCAGTGGCCTTTAGTTTAATTTGCCTGTTTTTACTGTTATATTTAGCTTAATTGCTTAAACGCCACATATTCTTAGTCCTCTTGCTAGATTGTCCATTTGGAGCACTTGTATCTATGTGTATGCACCCATGTGGCTTGTGTTTTTTGGTAGCTGGTTTCACACATGGTGTTCTGATAACCCCCATACATAGCCTTCATATTATTTAGCACAAAGTGGATGCACAAAATTAATTTTGAAAGGTAGTTATCAATGGAAATTACAAATAAGATGTGATAAATTGTGTAAAATCAGTTTAATTTGCTTTTTAAGTATCCCTGTATCCCCCATGTAGAGCCCCAACGAATATTTCTAATTATTTGTAGCATTTTTCAACAATTGTTCATTGATCCCATGCAGCTGCACAAAAAATGTCCATGATTTACCCAGTAAAGAGACGTTGTTACCTAATTTATTATGGTCCAAAACCCGGAAAACCCCCATAAAGACCCTTCGTTCACGGCCCGCGTTATGCGTGTCCCAATTAAACGACACTTGTTTCTGAATCAGCAGATGTTCCTCTTTCCAGCAAGGGTAAAACCGTTTATCAAAATTGCCGCGTGACGGAGAAAAGGCTACTTAAAAATTAATAAAATTTAGAAAGATGAAAATTCTGATTTCATTGGTTCTGGTAACCCCCTGGCATACCCTTTTAACTTCAATGTTGCATCTTCAATTTTTGTTTTGTAAAAGTACAAGACCCATGCTATGTGACAAAAGAAACCCCATGTTCATATCATTACTGGAATTACCGTGGTGTCCATTGTAATTTCAGTAATTTTCAGCCATAAATTGTTAGATTTTTGAGGGTCTCAGAGGGGGGTCCCAGAACTCCATAACGAAAAATAGCTGGAGGGTTTTAACTATATGGCTGTTAATAGTTCCTCATACCTATCTCACATACAAAGTATGAGCCGATTTGGCCGACCCCCATCTTCCGGCCTCTGCCTGGTTTTCTCGTGCAATGACTCTTAAGTCTACAGGCTGATGCTGAAGGTATCTGCAGAAACAGGTTGACGATCTCCTGGACATTCTGAGCTCCATCACCTCGCTGCACTCTTACCGAAATCGAACCTTGTCCAACCTGCCTCTGTAGACGTTCACGCTTTGCCTCAAGAGAGCTGAAAAACAAATGAACAATAAGTATGTTAATTTACTACAACAAAGGACTATACCCTAACCACTTTGAGCGAGAGATTGACTGTTGCAATGAGAAACAGTGACGGTAAACTATATGTCAGATGTTTTGTCCTGTTACATAACTACTAAAGATTTAGTCTAAAAGTTCATTCTGTGCTCAGAACACTTCACTTTCCAGACATTTGACACCTGCACTCGGTTTTTAACTTACAATGAATAAGAAAAGGTGAATACGAGTAACAAAGAAGAATCATTAATATTGGTACTTACAGTGTGACAAGAGTTGGGAAAGAACTCTGCTGCATGTGTGGATTCCTTCAGGGTTTAGGCCAGCACTGCCAGCAGGGACCACTGGAGAAGGAAATATCTCATTTATTGGTTCTTAATCTGACACATTTAACTTACGGACAAAACAGAGAAGCTTTCAGAAAGCCTCTGCCATCCCGTTGTATTTCTATTTTACGTCTTACAAAGAGACAACAACACTGAGTGCAAAATACAGGTTGAAAGAACTGTAAAAGTTACACATTTTAACATAAGAATTATGATGAAGATGATGATTAAAATATCACACAACAAATGTTATCAGAAGAGACTGGCAATAATACAACTAAATAACAGACTGAGGGCGTACACTAAATAGAATGACAAAACCTTTGGTAGACTTCAGAAACTTTTGGAAAAAAATAAAATTACCCACCATGTGCTGCCATGCGCTGGTTGCCACATGCACCACCCTGATTGCTTTCTAGGTCCATGTACTAAATACACAACATGCAAATTCAAGTAAATCATAATTTCAAACTGAAATACTGAAAATAAGAATCAAACATGTCAAAGCAAACAAACTAGACAAGCACTAAAATATTGGCCATAATTAATTGTAATTTGATCATGATGGTACAGAATGTACATGTATTTATTAAATAATAATTAAATACATCATTCTGGTTTTATAATATTTTCTATTATAGATGTTAAATAAGAGAAGTTTATTGCAAAATCGTGCCCGGAGGCTAATTGCAAGTCATAAGCAATATTGAAACAGATTATACAATAATATCTACATGATGAAAAATAGTTGACTAAAACTATAGCAGCTATATCTGAAGGGTTTGACTTCTCTTTTGTAAACCATGGAAGACGTAATGTCCCACCTTTTCCAAAATTTGTGGGTTTTGGGAAGTTAACAGAAGAATATATTTTTTCTTTGTCTCACAGAATGTACAGGATGATAAAATGACTCACAAATTCCAGCTCTGCTCCAGTTGGTGTCAATGTGATTATCCAGGCCCATCGGGTGCCTTCTGTTGCGGCCACAGCCTGGACGGTAGTCCCGGTCCCAATCCTTGCATCACACGGCACAAAAGGCGGGTTGTCGGGATCTGGAGGGCGTCTGGGCACATAGTACCGGAAGGTGAAGCTGGAATCCAGGACGTGCTCAAACACCTGACAGTATGGAAAGTTGGAAATTGATTATTCTTTACCTCTCGAGTGCCTTTTTTTTAAATTGTAAAAATTAAAACTATTTTTTGCTCCAAAAGGTTCAATATACATTGTACATACAAGATATAATGTACATATTGCCAACTTTATCATTGGGTGCACCAGAACCAAATAATCCAAAAAGATTTAACTAAATTTTCATTTAACCTAGAAATCCTTCATCTTTGGAATGGTGCTGACTTTGATTAATAGTATTCTATAAGATTTGATAGTCAAACTCACACTTCTCGGATCAGGCCAGTCCTGGCAGCAACTTCCCAAAGGAACTGCAGTGGATGGCCTTGTTCTGTTACAATCAGCTGTTCAGATGCAGGGCTGAACACATGCACAGCACCTAAAAAATTTGATAAGAGTTGCCAAACAAATTACATAGTGCCTTACCCCTATATATGGCAGTCCTAAAAGATGATCAGCAGTTAACATTTTGTATTACAACTGATAGTACACTATACTTGTTGTTACAATACAATCTCCACAATCATACAGTCTGTTTATTTTAATAGAGTTTACAAGTGTATCTTTCAATTGACAAAATAAAATATATAATGATTATCTGACATCTACAATCCTACACCAATGAACAAGTCACTTCTATCAGACAACAAACCTTCACACTGTACATGTACATTTTAATATAATGCAACTGAGGTTTCTTTTATGAACTTCACTTACACCAGGTCCTACCAAGTATATATTCTACCAATTGAAATTCCATTTTCTAATGTTATTAAATTCAACTTGTCAATGACAGCATTATGATTATGATGAATGCAAGAATTTCCAATTTATCTTCATTATATTATCTAATAGTATTGACTTACCTATTGCCTGTTCTTGGCCTAACTGACCAGCATCTGGTAACATTGGGAACTCTTGATTCTAAAATTTATAAGAAGACAAGTTTCATCATCAGAAATGAAGCATTACACAAAATGCATAAAATTCTTTAGACTTTCTTTAACTCAAAAATCTAGAGGATCAAAATAGATCTAAGAGTACATACCTCAAGCACAATAAGTCCTGGTGGTCCAGAGCATGACAAGTCCTCCATAGCCTGCTGAAAAAGTCAAATAGATGCCATTGAATAAATGACAAATTGAACTAGAAAGTTTTGTTATACAACAAGGATACATTATCATGCACTGTTTAATCTTACAGTCAATGAATCTGAATTTCAGAAGAAGCTTATTTAATATTTCAAAGTACAAAGTATGTTGTACTAGATTTGTAGTTTCAATTCAAGTACTGTCATTGTACATACCTGAATGTCTCGTTCTGGCAAACGCAGAATCTGGCACAAAATCCTCATTGTGGGTTGTACCAGATGACAACGTACAGCGAGTCTTGCAAAGTTGGGCCCCGGGGGTGGAATACTGGCCGGAGCACGAGGCAAACCCGAAGCTGTACGTGATCGAGGAGGAGAGGATGCCACCGATTGCTCCCTCAAGGTCTAAGCCCTCTGTGTCATCTATACTTCCTGCTGTTGCAGCAAGTGACCAGTTATCACTTGACATGGATTCTGTATCTTGGTTGTCTGAAGAGTGGCTGTCGACCGCCTCTTCTTGAAACCACAATGCGGAGGCAGCCGCCTCTGACTGGGTTTCATCCCTCATCTTTTGTTCTTCTTCTTCTTCTGAAGTTGTACGTGATGGAGGAGAGAAGATGATGCCACTGACTGCTCCCTCGAGCTCCAAGTCCTCTTCGGTATTTCTTACTGATGCAGCGAGTGAGCAGCTATCACTGGACAAGGATTCCATGTCCTGGTCATCTGGAGAGTGCACGTGGCTTGTTACTGCATCTTCTTCAAAAAGTAATGCCGCGGCAGCCTCCTCTGACTGGGTTGGCCTTTCTCCTTCACCTTCATCTCTCATCCTTTCTTCTTCTTCTTCTTGACCTTCTGGGGACTCATCTTGCTCATCTTGGACACTGGAAGTTGCATCATCAGTGTATTCACTTGGTGGTTCAAGGCAAGTCTCCTTCGTATCTGTCTTGGGCGTGTCTCTTCGACCTCTCACTTTGTCGTGAGCAGCTTGGATCACTGGATGGATATTTCCTTCGTTGAACTTGTTTAAGTGCTGAGCCATTACGGTAAACCTGGAGAAACCGTAAAATCAGGACTTTTTATTAAACAAGAGTCAAGGAAGGTGGACTTGTTTTAAAAAATTCAGACAGCTGTGAAGCTAGTTAAGATGCATTTGAGTGAGAGGTCAAAGAGAATCAAAATGAAAAAGACATTCAAGAGGTAAATGATATTTAAAGGGAGAATGCACCAACTACGCCTTCCAAGTGATCCACCTTGTAAGCTGGCTCCTCTATTTGAAAGAATCTTATTCCTTCCCACGTTTGAAAACCACCTTGTAAGTTGCATGGCCAAGGGGTTTCATCTGGAAGCTGGAGCTCTTCTTGACGTGTGAGAATCAGCACCCTGGACTGGATCCTCTCTCTCAGCAAGGTCGGAGTCAGGAGGGTTCCATCTTCAAGGTCATCCACGATCAGCAGGACTGGAGTCCCCCGGTTCTGTAGGGCTTGGTCTAGACACTCGTCTACTTTAGTGACGTCTTCTTCGTCTGTCACCTCAGCATTCAGTGCTTCAAGGAGCTTCCTCTTGCTTGCCAGGAGAGTCTGCCTGTTCTGTCCATCCAGGGCCCAAACCACAGCTGTGGGGTGGTGATGAAGGAACTGTTTGGCTATCCACCGTGTGATCTGGGTTTTCCCAGATTTGGGGATGCCAGACACTACGATGTTGGATGGGTTATTTGAAGTCCCAAGAGCCTGCTCCACTTTTGTGGCATCATTTGTCTTTACAAAGTGCTCAACTGGCTCTGGAACATTTGTCACTGGTTTCAAAGTATCACCCACTGATGCCTGATTAAGGAAAGATACGATGTCCTCAAGGCCCTGGGCATGCAACACCCTACAAAGGGCAAGGAAGGCACTTTGTCCTTTAGTGGATAGTACACAAAGAAGACTTTTGGCCTTTTCAAATGGGGTTTTCTCTTCTTGGATGATGTTTGATTCTTCTTCTGTCAGGATATGGGACTTAGTTAGATCATCACAGGCTTTATTTGGGTCCAGGCGTTTGGCTATATACCCTTTGATCTGTGATTGAACATGAGTCCACTTGTCTTCATCTGTTCCTGCAGGGTTTAGAATAAAAATCTCTTCAAAATGTTGTCATTTTAACTACCATCACCAGAAACAAACACAGACGGATAGACAGACAAGCCAAGCCAAAAATGATGCTTGTCTTTTATTGGCTCTATTCACATTCATGTAGACACTGGGGTTTTTAAGAACACGTGACTTATTACTAAAAAGTGATTATGGGGTTTCCAGAATATTTTTTCCAGAAAAGTACCCTATGGCTATGGCCCAGTTCATGACTCAAAATGTGTTTCAGTTTGATTCAAAACAACAAATTATTTGGGAACGCTCCATCTCGGTTCCGTTGCGCTTTATTTTGAGCTACCTCGCGAGGTGGTCTGAAGCACTTTATAATGATTTGCATTCGTCAAATTGTAATCATGAACGCACGGAAGTGAATCATTCTGGGTTGATGTCATACATCCGGGTATGTGGGATCAGCCATATTTCACGGCCTGGGTTTTTGTACCGCGGGAAATTCTACTTGAATCGTACAATCTTGATAACTTTTTATTATCACGTTCTAATTATCGGTGGACAGAGGAAACGGGAGTCCCGATATTGACTTGGGGAAATCAGTAGATCCATAGGAAACTGGATGGCGTGGATTGGAACCTACCCTAGGCGTGCGGGCGAGTGGTAGCCCAACAGGGGCATTGGGGCAGTGGTGGGATAGTGGGAAGGCATTAGTCGGGGACGGCCGACCACATGCCTGCACGTGCGTAAACTCGCTGCCTTACGAGTCAAGTTCCCAGGAAGGGTAAAAAGAACTTGACACTGGTATACATATGAAACACAATTCGAGGTGCGAAACTGTTTGTTTCCAGTGGAGGTTCCAGTTTTGAATCGCAGACGCAAAATGTATTCCATATCAATTCAGTTCATGGCCATATCGAAACACATTTCCAATCATGAACTGATTAACATCGGGCCTATGAGGGTTTTGAGAACAATTTTTACAAAGATGGGGTTTTGGCAACTACATGGGGGTATTGAAAGTTGATACAGGTCCCGCCATATGTGCCCCGCCGCATAGAACTGTGAACAGGCATGTTCTACATGTACATAAACAGTCTTTTAATACCACAAGCATTCTTACTAGTTACTAAGGCAGTTACTAGCACATTAGCACAAGTTACTGTCTAAGCATCAGTCCATCGATCACATTCACCAATGTTTGTTTAATGTTTTAGCAAAATATTATTAATATTCAACTAACATGTACATATTATTGCCTTTCCCATGGTGAAACAATGCCTTTACCTGACACTGCTGGTACCCAATGTTATTTTTGGCCGTATGCCAAAGTTTTATTTGCTTCTGTTTGGTAGCCCAGACAAAGAACAGGTGGCATAGGTGGCTTCCAAGAAGCCACAATCTGTTACGCCCGCAATAGAGTAGCCACATGCCATATTGTTATCCATTGTCCGTCCTTTTATTTCCATCAACATGCACTAACATGTCTTGCAATTAGTCCCTGGGCAAGAACTTGCAATGAACTTTCAATTGATATATTATTTGCATGTACTTTATATTAGGTACACTAAAATACATTTTCCTTACCTTGGTCAGGATCAGCTCCCTCTAGGAGTCGTACGATGTCTTCATACAGGCATGTTCCTTGTCTTTGGACCTCCTTCAGGGACTGTATGAAAGCTTCAAAGGCAGATGACGAACGTCTAGCAAGGATAAACAGCAGCCGTTCGGTCCGTTTTTCATCGGTGGCCTCGTCGTAGATTTTATCCACATCATCGTCAGTCAAAACCCCCTTTTCTTTAAGACTGCCGGTGATGTGGTGTGCACGGATGGTGCACTTAAGCCGACGGTGGTGCTTCCGTAGCTTTTCGTTGTGTGTTTTCTCCATTTTTTTCTGGAATTAAAACACAATTTTTTTTAAATTTGAAGTTTAACTTTACTTTACGTTGAACTGAACTGGCCCTTGACAAAACCAGCCTGTGACACTTTATTTTTCTCAAAGTGACGTGCCAGTATTAGCGCAAATATGTATCTACATATTAGCACTGGCTACCTCCACAGAGATCACAAATAACTGGCCGTAGTACTAGAAACAGCGAGATGCTAGACTGTCCGAGAGCAAGAACGAATAGATATAAGAACTCGCCTATACCGTTCATGGTCCAGCTCCTCAATAACTATGGACTGAACCCTTGACTGTTGTCTTTTTAAATGTAGTACACTGTTTCTGTATCAATTGTTGTCCGGGAAATTTATAATGTATGGAACATGTATTTTTATTGGTTTGTTAATCGTACGCCTATATTGATTGCAAACCTGTAGTTTTTAAATGCCAATGTTTTGTAAATTGGTTTACAATTCAGTTGCTTTTAACTGCGAAGAACCAATAAATCCATCTTGAATCTTGAATTGAATCTAGCATCGTGTACTCACGACATTGATTTTAATTTGTCAACATTTTTAAAAGCTGGCATGGCATGCATGAATCGTTATGGACCAATTCAATGGAAAACACTGAAACAACAAACTTACTTAATGCTCGTTACATGATGACTCTCTACATGAGACTTGACTTAATATCTCTTGAGAAAAAGAAACTTTCCAGGTGTCAGAATCTAAATTAAACACTAAGCACTTAACAATGGCTGCATCCAAGTGTTATTAATGTAAATATACTAGTAGTCATGGGACCTTGCACATGGCAGCCATTTTGGAACAACATCCAACTTCTTGCATTGTTATAAGACTGTAAATTCCAGCCATACATAAATATAAGCTTGTCTCAATCATTTTCAGGACCTTTACTTAATGATAGTTACAATTTAATACAAACTCTTGACCAAAATGAAGAACAAAATACTTTACCGTCAACAGAGTCAGTGACAACTTAAATACACAATGAACAAGGGCGTAATGTTCAGACTCAAACAACATACTGACCTTTAGTTCTGTGATCTGATGTAGTTTTCTCACTAATCCTACAATGGAAACAGAAATATCATTATCAGCAAAGCTGTAAACACCTTCAAAAATAGTTTTTATCGTTAGCAAAACAAGAAAATGGGAAAATTTGCGGAAAAATGTAGAACAAACAGCTCTAGAGTGAGCTACCTGTGTCGTTCTCGGCTGAGACTGCTGACAACCATGTGACCAATCCACGTGACTGTTCACATGACGGGTCACGTAAAATCTCACGGTAACTTGGTCTTGCTTGCGCGGGTATTTTTGAACCAGCTCAGACTTCAAAACATACTACAGTGCAGCATGATTATTTTAAGTGACTTAATCTGCTGTGCCTTTTTGTACGGACACAATAAAAATGAAAGTGAAACTATTACAGTTTTGTTGACATGTTGATCCAGGCAGGTGATACCACTGCCATATAGTGCAAGTCCTTTCTACAAAAATGACCTTTAATTAAGTTAGCTCAAAGAAAAACTGAAGTTTTGACAAACTTGCCTTAAAAACTTGCCTTAAAGACCTTTGCTTTCTTTAAGAAGAGACTGGCTCAGGTGAATTTATTCACCCATCGTGGATCACCTGTCCTGTTATGTCAACAATTACTCCTGACGTCATTTCCTGTGACTGCGCATGACACGTGCCCTGGGGGTGTTGTGAATGGCATTGAAAGCCAGTGAAATACAATACTTTACCTGGTGGAATGTCACCACAGGTGAAACGAGTACTGGTATACATGTCTCCACAGTTAGGATCGCCTTGACTGTATGATTTGTGTAAAGTTGTAAAACAATGTCAAATGTGAATAGACCTAGTTACATGTAGAAATGAGACCCTAGCACCTAGTGTAATACAGGCCTCATTATTAACACAGGGTTCAAATTCCATAGTCCAATTGCAATTGCCACAGGGCCCAGAAAGGGTTGTTTGTTAAAGCCCTCCCACAACCATTAGCATGGTCGCATATGGCGGCACCCATCTCCGTTTCGTAGCCCTTGGGCCACACACAATTGTGCAAACACCACAGCAAGGGGCTAGTCCACTGGTAGTGGTGTGTGTTTAACTCCCATACTCTTTCCCAAATGCTGAGTGCCAAAAAGAGAAAGCCATTTTTAAAGTCTAAAATGGTATGACTTGGCCAGGGATTGAACTCACTACCTACCAAATGTAAGGCAAGCACTCTACCCACTTGGCCATTCTCAGGTGATATAAGTTTGAAGAAAGACCCTTTCTAGCCCCCTTACCAGCTTAAAAACCTGGATCATGTCACTGAGACGTCTTCTAAACTGCAAGAAGGATAGTCATAATTCACTTAATCTATCCTAATATGGCAGGTCTCTTAAAGACTTGATGTGAGTTGTCGCCCATTTTGATATAAGTCCATCCCTTGCTGTGTCTGGCTCTCATACTATATTTTCTAAGTGTGGCCTTAACATAGCTTTGTACAGAGTGGAACTTTCCGTAGGTTGAGGTTATGGAATGGTCTTATCAGTTCTCTAACATCTGGTTGCAGTCACTGCATTTACATGGAAGTTTTAATAATCAGCTTTGTAGTCCACTATATTAAAATATGACACCCGAGTCCTTTTAAAGCCCTCCAGTTTAATTTGGGACTGACCTCCCATATCTCAAAAACCTTTACACTCACACTCATATAGGTTAGTATTGCAACCTAAAAGTAAAAATGATGTAATGTTGGAAATACATTGTATGTAGCAGTCATTGATGACCCCCTGGAATGATGATGAAGATAATCTAAGTATGCAAATTATCCACAATTATGCATATTTATGCATATGTATTGAACTTTGAAGCTGACAACATGTTAAGATGGGAACCACTCTCGCTTCCCTTTTTACTCATTATTGTATTTTACAAACTTAAGATAACATGTCTAATGACACTTCCGTTCAATTACAGCTATAATTACTGAAAAAAAAATTAAACTTAAATATAAATATCATGTTTTTAAATCAGTTACTTAAACTATAGAGCTGTTTTTTGTTACTTATTAGTATAAACACTGGTTTACATCTTTTACATCATATTCAGTTTCTGTTCATCTTCATTTATACATATCATTAAGTCATCTGCAAATAGTTACATCTTGATACTCATTATAGTACTGTAACAGCACATGTGGGCAGTTTATGAATACATTTATGTTCAATGTAACAACACAAGTCTAAGTTTGCTAGGTGCTCATGTTCTGTATAGCACTTAGTAGCTTCAGCATCTGTACCAATTTTTCATCTTAGTACTGTAACATTAGATTTGCTTTACCCAGTTTCACAAACGTTTTATTGCCTAGCTTCACTAGGCCTTTGATATCTAGACTGGTGTATTGATGCCCTTGATAAGAGATGTCTGTTCTTATTGTCTGAATGGAGACAACTCTTCTGTCAACATCCTTATGACTCCCTTTCCAGGATCTGAGGATTCTCTTTTCTGCACACTGGGCACTTATTTTGCTGGACAGGATTAAAAAGAAATTGCACAAAATCAAAATCACATTATTCAGATTCTAACAAGTCATCAAAACAGAGCAGGCTATGATAAAAGTACAAGGCCATTAAATACCGTACAAATATACACAGTATACAGATCCTGGATAGTCCTTACGTGGCCTTCATAAAGAACAGAAGTCAATGACTGCATGTACTTCATGTAAACCCTAACGAATATTAAGCAACTACTCTATACATTTTAGGAATGGATTCTGAAAAAAACTTAAGTAGTTTAATTAATAATCATAGCATATTTTGCAAAATGTTCTGTATACTTACCCACTGTAGCCATCTCTGCAAGCACATCTGATGGAAGCAGTGTTTGCATGAGATTTCCACTAGTAAATCCACTTCTGTATCCAGGCAGATGGTACACAAATATCCTGTAGGTCCAAAAAAATACAACACATCCCAAAAGTTTATAGGAATTCCAAATTGAAAGCACATACTAGTTTGGTTGGTAAGGCCCTGGTGCAAAGAATCTTTATGCACATAAAAAGATATAAATATCTGATTTTAATATTATTACACAATTCTTCAAGTTTTAAAGATCTTTGAAATGAGTTGCCTTATGTATAACCTGTCCAAAATGCATGATTAACAGTTGTTGCAGTTACATAATACTATACTCTTAAATTTCTTGTACACATTGTGCTCATCCTAAAACCAAGTTGACTGTACCCTGAAACACTTTTGAATGACAAATACAGTTCCCACCTTTGTCACCATCATCCCTCACTTTCTCCCCCTCATCCCCTCTACTTCCATGTGTACTTGTGTCCCAGTCCTGTTCCCTCTGCTCCCCTCCACCATTCACTTGCTGATGGATATTAGCCTCCACAGCATACATGTATGTACTCCTTCCTGTCACTTCCTCCTAAAGAGAGCAGTGAAAGGTTTATGTGTATGTTAGGTGACAACCTTAAGATTTCCTTAATCAACACTGATCAAAATGTCTATAATTATTCCTGAGGCTTCTAAGCACATCTGAATTTGTGATACTACTTTGCCTACTACATTGTACATGTACATCATGTGGAGTCATGTACATGTAGCATTGTATTGCTGCTATATGTGGACTGATAAAATATGGTCTACATTATGTGGACAGGTGGTCCCTATTGACTGGATGTTGTGTCAAATTGGGACAAATTAAGGGACCACCAAAAAGTTGACACATTGGCCAGGTGATCCTTATGTACATGTAGACTTAGTGGTGGTCAATTTGCCCATTGCAGACAATTAATATAATTATCTTTTCCGACACAAGTGTATAGACGGGATGTCATCCTTAAATATGCAAATACGACCTTAAATGAGAGGTTCTACCGAAGTGCTATGCACAAAACTTAATGGGTTGTAGCAGGTGCAGTATGTTCTGCCGACATGCTATAAATGGCTATTATTCTCAGCATATCTGCTGACCTCAACAATCCTCCATTGCCATGAGCTGTCTCCCTCATCAGCATGGTACATCTGCAGTATGATGTTCTGGGCTGTGAGAGGGTCCAGCGATGTCCCCAAGGGAATGGGTCTTCCTCCTGGCCATCTGACGGTAAAGCCGTGCATGGGAAATGCAGAAAAGGCCTATTGGGATAGAGAGAAAAAGTCTTGAGTACAACTAAAAAGTGATACGGATCCAGTAACTGTTGTAGCTCACTGAAGACATGAGAGCACTTAATGCACTAGTTTAGGAAAGTCTGTATCATCAATGAGCATAACATGGAGTTCTTACCCTGGCAGCAATGTGCTCTATTAGGTGCTGCTGTACCGCTGTGGGAGCAAAGATTCTTGTCTCATCCAAGACCTGCCCTCCAAAGTCCAGCACTGTGACAGATATTCCTGAAAGTGGGAAACTTGTTAATGAATAATTCTTTGTTTTCAGTCTAACCATGCACTCAATACAGACATGCTTTGACAACTTAACCCTTAAGCTGCCGGTCCCGGGTATATCCGGGTTCACTATACATCCCCTGTGTGCCATGCCCGGGTATATTCGGGATAGGGTATTCCCCGGGATAACTTAGCACAGCTGCATGTTCGCGCCGCCAACAGGAAGTGACTGGCGGCGGTAAGTGAGGGCAGGTCAGAGGTCAAAGTGGGTTGCGTAATCACCGATTACGTCATCCCACAATGCTTTGCGGCCTATAATTGCCAAGATGGCGGCGGCGTCGTCTGCCGAGGCTTTGTTCTTTTGTTTACGTGTTTTGGGCGGTGAATTTGGACTGTTAACACCAAAATGACGACGTTTACCCTCGAAGAACTGTTGTAGGAGGTCGCTACTGTTGATTTAGCCTATGGTTAACGTATATCTGACGCTGATCCCATTGAGAGTAGTGAAAATGAGACGGATCGTGTTAGCAGACGGGAGGAAATGTGCTCACATGGAACCAGATAGCATTAGTGAATGTGACATCGGCCATGGAACTACTAATGGCCGTGGTCGTGCTAGGGGTAGAGGTCGGGGCCGAGGTCGGGGGTGCGGAAGAGGCCAAACAACAAGGGAATGTGGCACAGACAGGCGAGATTGCAGCCGGCCAGCTGATGGGGATTTAAATCCCGGAGCCGCCCATCAAGCTGCAACTGATACAAGATTTGATGGCACAAACTGGCAGAGGGGGGATGGAGACAGCCTGACCAAGTCTCACCATGTTTTCACTGCACAAAGTGAATTTAGTGGCAAGTTTTATTTCTATTTTATAGCAGCTTTTATGTAAAATTTTCCATGGTATAAAGCATAATATTATACTTTTTATTGCTTTTTACCTGTTTATTGCCTTTGTAGTTTATATTGTCAAGTTGAAATATATTCCTAGACATAGTATATACAATAAGCTTTCATATGATATGTAACAAGTATATATACCATCGATTACATAGGTACAGGAAGGAATGTATTATGTTGTATACATTAGTTGGTTCAGCACCAAGGACAATATCCATCATAAACTTACCTGTAATGATACCTGAGTGCTGTATTTTTACTTGTATGTAATTCTAATAGTGTCAGGACATGTCAGGATCTGTTAAGTCAAGGCCCAAGTCATTCTGTGGTTGCTTATCGTTGATTGTATGGAAACAAGGTGGAAATTGTACATTTTATTGCTTTTACCTGTTTATGACCCTTATGGTCTATGTTATCAAGTTGATATACATTCCTGAATCTACTATAAGCTTCCATATAGTATGTAACAACTCTATGTACCATTTTTATAAATGTACAGAAAGAAGTGTAATATGTTGTAATGAATCAGTGTCTTAGCTGAATAGTCAGTTCAGCACCTAGGACAATATCCATCATAAACTTACCTGTAATGATACCTGAGTGCTGTATGATTACGTCTATGTGATTCTCATAGTGTCAGGACATGTCAGGATCTGTTAAGTCAAGGCCCAAGTCATTCTGTGGTTGCTTATTGTTGATTGTATGGAAACAAGGTGGAAATTGTGCATTTTATTGCCTCTTTACCTGTTTATGACCCTTGTAGTCTATGTTATCAAGTTGATATACATTTCTAGTTATAGTATCTACTATATGCTTTCATATGATGTATAACAAGTCTATGTACCATCTTTTATAAGGGTACAGAAAGAAGTGAAATATGTTGTAATGGATCAGTGTTTTAGCTGAATAGTCAGTTCAGCACCTATAACAATATCTGATCATAAACTTACCTGTAGTGACACCTGAGTGCTGTATTTTACGTGTATGTGATTCTCATAGTGTCAGGACATGTCAGGAATGTTATAGGTTTCATACTTATACTTTTTATATAGTTTAGGCATTGTAACACAAAAAAAATATGAAAACAGCTATTTTATTGCATTATTGCCCTTGTAATTCATTACTATTGATGTCAGGCTACATTTGAAATATTTTTCTGTAAAGTACACATTCTTAGCTTTCCAATGATATCTAGCATGATATGGTAAGTTGAGGGGAAAATGACAAAAAGACAGTAATACAAAGGTAGTACCCCCTATTTCAAAAGGGTCTGGAAACCCTGGCACAGAGGGGATGTATTGGTGAGAAACACTGGCAGCTAAAGGGTATGCAATGAAAAAAGGGAGATGGAATTTAATTTACCTCTTTCTGTCTCTCTGTAATGTACAAGTTCTGTCTCCAGGGCACATGTGAAAGGCAACGTTGCTTGTGCATCTGAAAAACAACAGCATTTGTTTTTACTACAGTATAGAATGTGCAAACTGACTTCAGTTCTATCACCAGTAGAAAAAATGTTGGCAGTACATGTACATACATTGTACTTCTGCTACCTGAATGCTCAGGCCTGGTACTGGCCCCTTACTTCTTTAACAGTTCAAGGTTTAACTATTACAGAGTAATTGCTTATTACAGCAGATGAAAGTGGATTGTGTGATGAAAAAGTTACCTTGTCTTGGTGCTGTATGGAGATGATGGGAGGAGTGACCACCAGCCTGTAGATGCATTACAAAACATGCAACATGCCATGAAATCTTGAATGAGACAATGGATGGGAAACCCACAAGACAAAAATGAAAAAGTGTCATTTTTTTAAAGGCCATATACATGTAGGTTGCACATACAGTACCATCCATATAGCACCCTGCATTACATATAATTTGGGGGTATTTCTTGTGCAATGCATCACACCGCAGGGAAATGCAATGAATGCAGAAGTAACTACGCCACCGCAGGGCAAAATAAGTCAAGGGTCTGTGACCTGATTAAGACATCAAATTATTTGAAAATGTTGTGTAAAAAATGCCAGCAGGACAAGGGTTAAGCTTGCAGTGTATAACATACAAAAAACAGTGGTGCACGTCTGAAGAAAAATAGTGACAGTCACATTCTGGACAGACATAAACACTTACAGGTAGTAACTCTTGACCAGTACTTCCGACTGAGTGACCAACTGCAGGCTATGGCTATCTGTCCACCCTCTGGGCCCTCTGTACAGGGATCTGGACATGGGAAAGAAATACATGTACTGGCATGAATATTATCTTAAAGGAATACGTGGCAATTTTTTTCCTCAGCAATCGGTGACTAATTAACCCTACCGTAGGACCGGGGGGGGGGGCTAAAAGTGCCCGCGGCAACTTTGATGTCACCTAGCGTCTGAACGGCTAGCCGTAGAACGACCAAACTTGGTGACTTTTCCTAAAATATTGTTGGCAACAATTCTTTATCATTG